GGCATCACAGTATGTGAGGGGCGTAACATTTCTGTCACACGCTTGAGGTATTCGGCCAATCATAATGCACTGGATAGCTGGCCAATCACAGCACACCTCGCTTTTTCAGACCGATGAGCTTTGTAAAAATCGAAGCGTTTCAGAAAGACGGGGCATAGAGGAGAAACAATAATGTACAGTATGTGGAAAATAATGTGTTTTTTTAACCTTAAACCGCATAAACACATTTCATTACACCAAATACACAAAATAATGTTCTTTTTAGCAACATCATATGACCCCTTTAAACGAAATCGTGAAACAATTGGGTGTGGGGTTTATATGAGTGTATCTATGAAGAGAACTGACTTTAGTTTAGATTTAACTAAAGATTTAGATTTGTTTCTCAATGGGGGCGTTCAGAGAGCATCTGGGGTCGCTGGAAGCATTTTCGAAAGGGACCGCTGAGGTGTTTTTTGGGAGCCGTTTGGTTAAAGACGAGTTTACACCAAAGCTGTATGGAGCTGAAACTTCCAAAAGAAAAAGATCTGCAACGTCTAACGCCGTCTCTAGACTGGATGCATCAACTTTCCAGATCTATTTGTCCGGTTAGCGCGGTAGGCAAGCGCGTGGAGAAATAGAACCGTTTACCGTGAGCGCGCGTTCAGTCACAGAATCAATAACTGGCTGCGTTTACACTTGCATTAACATGCGATCACCGTGATCTGATCAAGCAGATCGGATCATCAGTCAACCAGGACACGGCGCGTTTACACTTGGCAACATCAGCTGACTTCTCGATCTGGATAACCGATCGGATCTGTATTTCCCGCGCAATATCTAAATAAGTGAAGTGGTGGGTTTTCTTTTGAAAACTATTTTCAGTCGCGGGACATTTTACAAATCGCTCTGTTCTTCTACATCGGGAGAGAGGGGGCGGCGTTTTGCGTGATGTCGACCTGCGAATGCAGACACGATGGCTGGATTGCGTTTACATTACACTGAGATCCGATCACAATGCGTCCTCGACTACCTCTGGAACAGGACACGCTGATCGGATAACATTGATCAGAAGCGCGTTTACACTTGTCTTTTCAATGTGTATGTGGACAACATCCGGATACAGGTCGCATGTTAATGCCAAGTGTAAACGCTGATTATAATATGTTCTGTGTGCTTTTGAAGCCGTTCGCGTCCGGTGTAGTAGTGTTCCTGCCAGCTTACATCAATGCGCTCAGCTTTCTGTAGCGCAGCTGCCGAACTTCTCGTCAAAACAATAGCCAGCATTGACACGATAAAGCACGTCCATTTTCTCAGGCAGTGAAAAGCACCCTAAGTTGAAAATGTAATGATAGGATTGGCGTAACAGGTTTGGTAAACGCTCCAGTGCGTAGGCTATTTGTGTTTGCGCTCTAGAGAACATCAAAAGTTTCTATTTACAAAGTGTTTCCCTTTCATGGGAACTTCGAACTGCGTCCTCTAGGGGTCGCTATGGGGGACGCCTCGTCGTGACCCGTGTCTGAAGCATACATTGAAAAAACACCAACTCGTTGGCCAGCGACAGCCATGACGTCACTACCGGTGCGACTATAGTATAAATAGGCGCCGGGAGCACACATCATTCTCTTCTTCGTCTTCACTGACCG